CGAAAAGTCCCTTAAAATATAAACAAACAATGAAACAGCCGCCATCTTGGTTGATTTAACAAGAGAAGCTTAATAATGAGGAATGATTTGCATAGTCAGCCAACATGGCGGCTATGACGTAACATGCACCTCAGCTAGAATACTGTGAATCCATGACATGAGATTTATAGCCCCGTAACTCTTGAACAACACTTTCCAATCACACGCGCGAAATCGTACAATTTGCTGTTGCGACAAACTTGATTTTGGAAGACGCAATCAAGGCGTTTTTACTGCAACATTCCATAGGAAAGTGCTCTTGAAAACTTTGTATTTTCCGGCAACGTCAAGGAAACACTTTGATTGATGTCTACCAAAACCTTGAAATAATGTCCACCAACACTTAATTAATTTATGCGGGATTCCTGTGGATTTAGCGGGAAAATGGTACATCCTCATCCTCCTCCCCCCCCCTTCCCCTCCTTACCTATAATCGAGACCGCGCTACGCCCCTGGACCCGGTTGTACGAAGCCAGGATATTGCTATCCAAGGAATAAATCTTATCCAGTGAATAAATTTATAGGAAAACAGCATGGACTTATCCACTGGATAAGGATTTATCCGCCGGATAGCGCTATCCAGGCTTCCTACAAATGGGCCCTGATATATAAGGCATGATAAACAATGGGGAAAAAATGCACAATACACCATGCGCTATCCCCTGCTAGTTAAATGTGCAGGGGAAATATGCATTAGTATGYAAGGGGAGAATGTCATATTCTCCCTACATCCTAGGGAATATTTTCTTTGCATATTTAATTAGTTCGTTAGCCTCAAATATTCCCTGGAAGCCGCCCCCGGCTTTGAGACGCTTGGGAATTAGGTTAGGGGTCATGCGATATATTCAACGGAGAAGAACAAAGAAAACCGAGTTGATGTAAAAATAAAGTTGCGATTAAATACTTTGGGTTTACAGTCGCATGTGTGATGGATGTTACAAAAGCTTATCAGAACGGAAGTCTTGGATGTTCTGATCAATGTCCGCAGRCATGCAGGTAATATAAAAGTAATTCATAGATAATTCAGATACTGTGTAAGATGATATTAATAGTTATGTCGCTTCAAGACTGCATCGTATTTGGGCCTAAACGGTTGAAAGGAAACTGAAAATAACACAGGGAGCCCATCTTAGATAAAATTAAGAGACGAAAATAAAATCTGGAAAATATATCGTTATTGAAAAAACATTGGCTATAGTCTAAGTGTGCTAAGTAATACAAGTGAATAAAAAAATCAAGCAAAAAGATAGGCAATAGCCGTGATAGATAGGCGAGAAGCAAAGATGGGTCATTCCAAGATCCAAGAATAGCTGGAATGACTTGTGTTTTTGCTTCTTATTCTCGTCAAGAACATGGACCTTAGTGGTGATACTGATTCAATGTTCTTGGTATTCAACAAACCATTTCCATGTCGGAATGACCTATCGCCTATCGCCTTTGGCGATTGTGATAAGGGTTCGCCGTATGTCCGCCGTGTGTTCGCCGTATGTTCGCCGTGTGTTCGCCGTATGTTCGCGGTATGTTCGCCGTGTGTTGAAAGGAGTAGACATATTTCTACATCTTTCAACATTTTGATTGGGGCAGTTTCCATTATTTTAATATAATATGTATGTCCATAAGGTTCCTTGCCCTTGGCTCCGACAACTATCAACTATCTTTAACTAAATAGTTGATGGTACTGGCCATGAGAATCTGTGTCCCCCTCCCTTTCCCACTGCACCCGCTCCCTTAGCCACTCTTATCAATTGTGTAACGGAGCTTGCGTAAATTTCTAGGTCATGTCTTATCAATGATCTGAATTGTTATTCCTAGGTATGAGACATACAGAACCACTATTTCATCTTCACAATGGTCTGAAAAATATCAGGTACTCTAATCTATTACCACAAGGAATCCAATTTAGATAAAAGTGAAAGGTGAATGAAGGAATAGTCAATGCTTAGCCTGGTTACAGTCTATARCCATGAACTCTAAGACCTCTAAGCCGTGACCATGCTTTTAGAACATAGCTACAGCCATGAATGTAAGTTGTTGTTTCCCTCACGCACAAAATAAGGTGAAATAATTCACATTTTAAGACAGTATTGACCAAGTTCGACGCCCCCCACGCTGTTATGATTATAACAGTTTATACTTGCTGTCATTGTAAAGTTTAATGACGACCTTAAATTAGTTCGTGATTGGTTGAAACTCAATCATTTACATCAAACTCCTCTTATGCTAAAGCCATTAAACACCTCTAAAACTAAAGCAATGCTGTTTGGAAGTAGGAGGAAAACTAGCGATATACATATATTTATATATTTATTAAACGGYACTAGATTGCTCTTGTCCACGCGGATGAGAAAATGTGGCGGTGAAAGAAGAGTAGAGCATTAAATTAGCTATCCTCCGAGCAGAGCCAAGGAGAAGGAACCTAAATGAGCATATCATTAACCTCCATTTTATCTTCCAGGAAGATTTTATGAGAAAGATCATGAAATCGAAACGAGGCTTTTCACCTAAAATGCACACTGATGAAAATGAGATGAGGTATATAACTAAATCATATCAATTACGTTGATGTTTGATGACTGGTTTTAACCCTAATGTTTCATTCTTGGTAGGAAAAATTTTCTCCGTCTGAAGATTTTCTTTGATGAACTCAATCTAGAAAGCATCACCTACAGTAGATCCTATCCGGTTAGTATGCAAAAGTAAATGGCTTAAAACGTGGCAAAAAAGCAATTGTAACTTCTCTTTTTGAACAAACACGTATTCTGCTCCATGACTCCATTACGTAAAATATTATTATCATCAATAAGGCCAAACAACAAATTGCCCTCTTGAAAACGCGCGCCCAGCTGGCGATAGTGGATTTTGGCGTGCCGCAAATACGTTTGCAGCCTGCCAAAGATTCAACTCCAAAACTCTCGTACGGCAACTTTGAAAATTTGCTTAACATGACTTTGGTTGAGCATATTGTTCATTTGTGGCCCTTGTAGCTCGCTACGCTCGGGCGCAAATGATGCTACTCGGGCCACAAATAAACGATTTGCCCTCCAAAAGTCATGTTATTGTCCTATTAGCTTTATCGCTATGCACATGATTTTGCCATCAAGAGTATCTATGAAGGAGTAGAATTACGTTGGGTATAAATGTTCAGTAAAACATTCATCTTATATAGCTGGAACAATCTAAAACTGAGGAATTCTCCGGACGTGCGCGAGGATCTTCGAGGCCGCAAACGACTTGTGCTTTATAGACTTGAACTGCTGCATCGCAGACGGATGTTTGCTGAGATCTATAATTCATGTTATTCGTAGATTGAGAGTCTTCTAGGTGACATTGGTGGACAACTTGGTTTGTGGGTCGGAATTTCAGCCATAACTCGCTGCGAGATTTTCAAACTCCTCTTGGACATGGCTTCATATTTGTGGAAAAAAATAGTTATACGCGAAGAAAAAAGAGCAATCAGAGATCTGGCTCTGACTTGACTCGTTCATTCAATGTACAGCGTCATATACCGCATTCATCTCACCTTACAACTAACTTTACGCATAATAAAATGTTTTGGGTTACACATGTATGCATTATTCACATACACACACATGATGAAGCGGACAGGCTTTAGAGTGAAAATAGAGTGAAGTCAATCAATTAAATTAAAATTACTAGTCAACGTGTAATAGTCAAATAGACACCAAAGAAAGCATCGGGATTATAGTCTCCTAATGTGTATTAGTTTAATATATATTTCACGGGTTTAGAGTAAAACAAAGTTGTATAATTAGTTACTAACAGTCCAAGTTAAACAAAAGTGAACAAATAGAAAAGGCGCGCTCGTGACGTGTGGAGTTATGAAGCACGAGGGGACGGTAGAACACGATAGAAGCGTTAGGAGAAGCACGACGCATAGTGGCTCTCATCTACCTCTTTATAAAGAGTGAAGGAAAAGGAGAAAAATTAGGGAGAATTAAAGAAGGGAAGCAAAAATGGAATTGTCAGAGAAAGAATTAATCAAGAAAGAGAAGGGTAGTTAAGTGAAAAATAATATAAGATTCAAAGCAAGGAAGGTAAAAGCAAATAAAGAAATGGCAATTGAGAAGGAAAGAAGGGGGAAAAAACTCAACTACACTTTTGGTTTCTCGTTAAGTTGAACATGGAAATACAATGAAGACTCAAAAAAGCCGAAACAACAACAATGACAACAACGCCAACAACACAAAACAACTTTAAAATCATCAGAAACATAAACAACAATGGTTCTAATATGTTAATCAAAGATTTTTCAAAGCATTTGTTTAGACAGGAATGGTTACACTATGGCGGATTATCAGGGGGAGAAAACATTCATAAGGACTATATCTATTCAAGTATCTTAGAAAATATATAATTAAATAAAAATAAAAAGAATTCCAAAAACAGAGTTGGGTAACTATAAATTTTAGGTCACCCATCCAAGTACTAATCTCACCCAACCGTGCTTGACTCACAGTGTCTTGTTAGCCCTAGTTTTTTCCACTAGGCCACGATTTAAGAAATTAGCACAACAATAGCCATGACAACAAAGCACCAGATAGACTAGATTATTTTCCACTTCAAATCACCGTGCCAGTGCGTGGCAGAGTGCAAGGGATTAGTTGTAGATATGGTCTGGGGGCCGGCTAGTCTCTCCCCTGATGCTTCGGCTAGAACACTATACTGCGTAATCCGTACACCCAAGGGCAGAGGGACTTAATCGCCGTCATGTCCGAAGTCCATACGATGACCCAGCGGATGTCTCGGGGTATGGCATGAAGGCACTATTTTTTTTCC